TATATATATATGAGATAAAGAGTACAAGTGACATATAGTATGAGTAGTAGTAGCAGTAGTAGTAGTAGTAGTAGTAGTAGTAGTAGTACAGTAGTAGTAGTAGTAGTAGCAGTAGTTGTAGTTGTAGTAGTGGTAGTGGTAGTAGTAGTAGTAGTAGTAGTAGTAGTGGCAGTGGTAGAGGTAGGTGTAAGTAGTAGTAGTAGTAGTAGTAGTAGTAGTAGTAATAGCAGTAGCAGTAGCAGTAGCACTGGCAGTGGCAGTAGCGGCAGAAGTCGCAGCAAGCAGTAGTGGTAATAGTACGAGGAGGAGGAGGAGGGGGAAGGAGAAGTAGTCAGTGTCAGTGACTGTGGCCGTGTTTTGGGAAGTCATGGCTGGCAAGCCAGGATCGTTTGGGCGGCGTTGAGCTGCTTATAGTTCACATGCGTGTACGAACAAAGACATCGTAGGCCGTCCCACTTCCCCTCTAGGCTTCGGCCGAATGAGATCTCAACGCCACTTTGCTGAATGCAGCTGCGCAGGGCCAGAAGGGCCAGAATGACTGTTAGTTGGACAGCATGTCAATATTCTGTTTTGCTGGAATCCTCCCGACGGCCTGCTCAGATGTGCTGTCACTATAAAAAAGACTCAAGTCAAACGCCGAGATTTGGCAACTTCTGAAAACCCTCTCGCCTCTCACCAATGTCAAGAACAGGCTCGTCGGCGACTTGGCCATCTGGGGAAGAATGGAACATCCGATGTGAGCACCCGCACCGCCTTCGCGTCGGCTATCTCTTCGTTTTGCAGCATCGTTGCTAGAGGCTACTGTATGCTTTGAAGGCATTACTCGGATCGAGTTGACAGAACCACGATGTGTTGCTCCGTCCGGTACGGTACCTACAGCATGAAATTTTGCTCACTTGTGTTCCAGCACAAGTTTCAGAACAAATGGAGATTCGGTTAGGTTTTGGCACTCGCCATCGTTGGACTAGAAGTCTTCTTGGCATAGAGGTACCGGGACAATCAACGTGTTTTCCTCGTCCAAGTTGTCGCCCTGAAATAGCGAGTCTAGCAGCTGGGCTGACCTGTGTTGGCTGGGACCGGGTTCAGGATTGGACAAGCCCCAACAGCTCTCCACTTCAACCCGCTCTGAGCCGCTTTGGAAGCGAAGGTTGCAACTCATGGCTGCATCGACCCCCGGGTCGTCGGGCCTGCAGCTTGCAACAGCAGAAGAGCCACCAAGTGCGGGAACTTCATGTGCAGCATGGGTACTCTGCAAACTGACACTTTATATACTTAATCGAGTCCGGGCAATGTGTCTTGCTCTCGGCTAGAGCTTTGACGATTCCCCCCGGTAGACTTCATTTTTGAAATGCATGCTCTGCCGTGTTGTTTTTTTCATGTGCCTCTCAATGATGGCAATATCCCCCATGTTTTACATCCCGGAAGCCCTGAAGCACAACTGAGCACTCTTCTGGAGACCTTCGAAATTACCTACGTCACGTTTTCTCTATGAGAGTTGAGACAGAACGCCTTTGCAGCTGCGTCTAGATTGACATCGTGAAACTGTTGAAGGCCCTTGCGCGTATTCCTGGCAAGTTGCGACTGCTGCGCCTGAGTGTCAGAAGCAGTCAAGGCCGAAAACAAGCGATCGAATGCTTGGAGATGCCGACGCCGAATCATCGAAAGTTCATGCGAAAGGCAGCCGGTGGAGCTTCTCTTCGCGGATGCTGCGATGAAGGCAAGCATAGAACTCAAAGAACCCTAGTTCTAGGATCTGGCTTGCTACTGTTAGACTGCTAGTTTCTCCAAGCGTCCGTCGCACTGATCACCGTTGGCTCGTCTCCACTCAGAGCACGCACGATGGCCACTCCGTGGACACCGACGCCCATCAGCGCACCAGTCTTGGAGCAGACAACCTTGCCTCAGAAGGTAACCGACTTCCATGGGAGCAATCCCCAACTTCAAAGTATGCCCGCCCCGGAGTATGAGCCGCCAGTAGCAGTACTCTCAGAAAGGATTGTACTTCGGCTATTCATCTTGGGTTTCCGTGACAAGCCTGGCCAATTGTGACACCGGCAAGCTGTCCCAAACCACTTCCTATTGATCTCCCAGACGCCTTGGAGTGAGTGACCCACTGGCATGTCCAGGTCGATGTACTCCAGAGTCCCTCTTGGAATGTGGCTGTTGAGTGCATGAGGGATCGTGAGGGTGGAGCGAGATTTGGGGTTGCGGGCCTTTTGTCTCTATCAGTTTCCACTGCTCACCAGGATGTTTGACCGTAGCCGTCTGCGGTGTGGGTCGTATTCTGCCCGGCATACCCCCTAAGTCACACATGTCCAACCAAATTTAAGCATAATCTGCGGGAGCAGCAATGACGACGAAGGGACGATAGTCCTGCAAAGCTATCAACAGTAACCAGAGCTACTTGTAGAAACCTTCCGTACAGTCCCTCGTTCAGCAGTTTCGAAAGAAGAGTGATCGTGCACCACGTCCAGTTAGATTCCGACCCCGAGTACATTATGGCACCCTGAACATCCCTGAACTGTGAACTCCAGGCGGTGACGCTCGCGACCCTGCTGCAGAGGTCCGTCTTTCTGCGGGCCTATCTTCCCCTCCAGGATCATCTGCCGAACTCGCTTGGTCACAGGGTGGCTCGTAGGATGCGTGCCCTCCAAAAGGACGCGGCCTCCATCCTGGCAAAAAGGGCAGACCCAGGCCCTAAGGCTTGGAGCATCCCTCAAGATGAAATATCCCTTAATGGCCTGAAGTCTAGTTATGTCAAAGCATTTTTGCATCCCTCGAGCCCGAAACGAACCAACTGTCATAACAGCTCCGGACAGGGTGGCATGCTGCCTGCGCAAAGAAACAAAAGGTCCCTTCGAATCATCTGACAGGCCATAGAGCTGTCGTATCCAAAGTGCGCAAAGTACTCGACCTAGCAAGTACACATGGGACATCGGAGCCTCATCACGTCTGTGAACCTTACTTCTCCCAACCTGCTTGCGATGATATCATCCCGAAGCTTCAATAAGCCCTCAAATCAGCGCGCTCCTACTCAGGCTGATGCTGGGTTCATGTCCGCGCCTCTGCAGCCCTCTGCACGATGACGGCCTCACGGCCATTTAGCACCTGACTTCCACCCATAAAGACGATGGGGACTTCTGTGATTGCTCGTAGGAGGAAAAATGACAGGAGCTTTCCGAAGCCTTGAGACGCGAAGTCTTTAGCGAGGCCCCAAGCGTGATCGCAAGGCGGCGTATGACAGCCCGCATGCGTCAAACTGACAGTGTATCCTGCTGGCAAGGCACTGACGGAGTCTCACAGAGCACATGCTTCCCTGCTTGAATGGCTTTGACGGTCCAGTGACACCGATGAGCTGCTGGTAGAACGTTGTATACCTAAGTTGCAGTTTGGACCACTTTTATATTGGAATCTGATGCTTGCATGCTCTTCGGGACCTGTAGAGTCACTTTAGAGGTGAACTGGAGCCCAGAAGCCCGACTATCGAGTGTGAAAGCTGCAGCGGGATCCACTATCCTTGCGACTTACGACCTCTTCTCGACTGAGCGGCGGCGTCCACTGTAGGATCAGACAGCAGCTCCTTAACGTCGGCAGCAGACATGCGGGCAGCATGCAAAGATCGAACACGACAATTATGGCCACATCGGTGGTCTCCGAAGTCTTTCTCGGAATTTTGGGTAGCTTGTCCAGACACGACCAGACCAAACTCCTTTTGGATACCCTGGCCTCGAAGCTAGCGTAGGCCTTGGCAATGCCCCAATCCTGGGAGCAACGTCTGGAGATTCTGCATCAAGGATGCGAGCACTGAAGCCGTGCACACACAAAAGAATCCTGGGTAACCATGACTTACTCGCTTCTATCCATGCTTCTTACGTGCCACTCACTCACTTGCTCTCTCCCACGCACCGCTTATCGTTTAAACATGTTTCAACTCTACAGAGCACAGCAGAAAATACAATACATGAACAACAAACAGTCCAGCGCGGGACCAAAACGACTACACAGACAGATCAGTTGCCAGTAAACATTTGTGGACAAACAAGTACGCAGAAAACAAATTGATCGGGACACGGTAGAATCGCAAACACTACGAGTAGCAGGCAGGCTGGTGGTTTAGGGTCCCCTGGGACATCTAAAATCTAGGCCAGATTCCGATCTCTGTTATGTTTGGTGTTTGGGAGTTCGGGAGTACTCGGCATCAGACTTATCCACCTTCTGCGCGCACTCTCCTTGCTGACAAGCCATACATTGGACAGCAGCTCCGTCGCTCTTCGAAAGAGAACGGCTGGAGCATCATCGGAACACGACGTGCCATCCAGGCGGCTCCCGACGCTCTTCAAGCTGTTGGGCTGCAGCACTGGATGGTCACCAAAGACTGCATGGCTGTCCATTACAGCGCCGGGCAGAGCTACAGTAATATGTAGAGCAGATCCTTCTAAACAATAAATAAAACCCGGATCTGAGGGGAAAACATTAAACACATTGACCAGGTCCGTCAACAAAGAGTCGTGGGCACAGTTGCCGGACCCGTCGACCAGGCGGACTGTCTGCGGCAGGTAGGACACGAGCTGGCGCGTTCTTGAGAGGACAGGAACCAACGAGCGATGCACTCCTCGTGAAAGACATGGCCACACAGCAGCAAGGCGACCTGAGGGAATCAGTCGATGTCTTATCCGAGAGATCCAACATGGCAAGCACCCTTCGTGGTGAGAAACTATTTTGGATCATGCATGTGCTGTGACCGCATGGGTGTGGAAACATTGCTGCATGTTCCTGACTCGGACTTCTCCATGAAAGGAGATCCGAAGCGCGAGAAAGTCACCATTCCACAAGCTCGCGAGAACCGTGCAAGGTTAAGGCAAAGGAGACAGGAGAGGAAGCACAGGAGAGTGATACTGGAGTGACCGTTTTGGGAGACATGGGGCGGCGACAAGGCGACATGATGAACTTGACGATCTGTGTTGACGGTCCCGAACCTGGCTGTTGCTGGTGAAGTCTTCCAGGCAACAAAGGCAAGTCTGTTGTGCTGCAGCGTCCACTTTGATCTGGTGAGACGCCGCGGCCCCGCAGTTCATCTTGCCTGGAAGCAAAGAATCAACACTTGGGGCAGAAACGTTTCGTTCAGCCGCCTCCGCCAGTAGCGTCGAAGTTTACTTCACCGGCAATAACCTGCCGTATACATCCCAGCGAGGTATCAACGTACTGCTGACTAGCGGCCTCGTCCAAGAGGTCACGAGATCGGGCAAGGAAACTCCGCCCAGCAAATCTCAATCGCAGCCAAGTGGCCCTTGTCGGTTTGGCCCTGGCCTAGAGCGACCTTGCGGAAGACGAGGCTTGCAGACAGGAGCATTCCAAACTCGCACGTGGCCATGACGCAAACAGAGTCCTCAGGGAGAGTCGAAAGTGCCACTTTGACTTGCATGCCGGATTTAGCGGCATTGCGACATGACACCACCGTGTGGGGAGGGGGAGAAATTGCTGAGACCTGCTGCTGGTCCTTCTCCATTCGGCGTGTGGCCGCAACAGGACGGTCTCCAGCTGCGGTCACGGGAACCTCGCCTAAACTGTCAGGACGAACTTCTCGTAGGAACAAGCATCTGATCACAGCCGTCAGAGTCATTACAAATACCAGGACTGTGTGGACGACCAGGAGCGTCCAACTCGTTGATCCATTTGCTATAGCTATCAGCACGGTCACCAAGTTTGCGAGCAGCGGGACGAGAAGAACAATCGCCAGCACCTTCACGATCCAGATGCATCGCATCGCTATCTGCGAAATGGTGACTCGAAGGGGCCGAAGGCAATGCAATGCTACATGCTACGCATGTTATGCAGATCGGTTGACACCTTCCAAGGACAAATAAGGAAGGGCTCCCGAGGCGGCTGTAGCTGGGATCGAAATGATATGTGCCTTTCGTAATGTCTCCTTGCTACATGTTGGGACCATCTCCCGGAGTGCCAAAATGGCTGCATCCAGGCATGCCTTACACACACCACTTCCAGCGGAAGGCCGAGAGATTTATCTTCACACCCATGGCACTGGATCTGCGAACACTGCACTTCACATCAGCATGGAGGTATACCATAGCCAGCACCACAAGCTCCAGCCCCCACGGACCCAGTCCTTGCTGGCCGTTTCGGCCTCCGCCTTCTGTAGGGAGGCCAGACCAACGATGTTGATCCTGACTACTAAAACAATGAAACGCGTCTGAGCGCGCTCTGATTCGGGCTCAGGTCCTTCAGGTGTTAGTGGTTTGGGGCTTGAGGATGTGCAAGATTGGCCAATGGAGAGGCGGGACCATGTTTGGCTTTGCGTGGGCTGCAGGCTGAGAATAGCTGTCCCCTGCCACTCAACCACGTCCGTGAAGAGCTCTAGCTGTGCTTGAAACCTAAGCACAACCAAAATCACTGTTTTGAATTACGCCGCTTCCCAACAGGAGTATGGAAGAAAGGCACTCTGCCTCGAGTTCAACACTGCAGAGATGATCCTTGAGAGTTCTAGGTGTTGCCTTCACACTGCCAGACATCCCGTCCTGGCGGCCAAATCTGGATTTTGTCTCAACGGTTGTAGCACCGAGAAAGGCACGTTCCTTGGCCGACAGTTGGCATGCCATCCAGATCCAATTTTTCACAACGCGCACGGTCACAAGCATCTTCAGTTCAAGAAGACGTTGCAAGCAAATCAACAGTGCAGAATGTGCATCCCACGAAGTTACTTGCTGGAGCCTGGGTTCAGGCTATGTCAACTCTCGTTATGGGCTGGGTGCAGGGGCGCAAGAAATTTGGCAACCCCCCCCCCCCCCCCCCCACGACAAAATGAAGCTAGTGCACATGGACATCTCACTTAAAGCAAGCGATTTCACATCATAGGAATCACATGAATTCGGAAACATAGCTCGACCATGATCAACCCGAGGGCGGCCTCGCTGCCCCGAGGATGCCCACTCCGAGTTTGCGCTCCGACATTGCAGGGGCCTCGCAGGGCATGGCTGGGGGGGGCGACATGCAGCAATGAGCAATGGCAAGGATCGTGACACTACATGACCAGGCTGAAGATATCTGAAGATGATCGCCGTGTTTGTTGAGGCCTTCTGTTGTGGATCCCTGGTCTCTTTTTGGTTGAAATCTGAATGTGCGCTCAAGAGCATCTTCACGATGCTGCGTCCGGACAGGTGCGCAGTCCTTGCCGCGATTCAAAGGGGTAAGCGCAACAAGAATGAATGCATAAGGACTCCACATTGAATTTTCGCCATCAATTTGCAGGTGGTGGGGACATTGTCTCACTGTGCAGAGAAACTACTCAGCTCCATTGCGAAGCAATCGGGAGGCGGGCCGGTGGACACGCCTCAATGAGAGACTGCAAGCAGGCAAAGAACCCAAACCTTGCTCGATGCAACGCTAAACGTACCAAAGCAGAAGCACTCAACATCTGGAGCCGGTCGCAGCCTTCACCAAGAGCACTGGGGATGCAACGAGTGAAGCTTCAAGCCGAAATGTAGGCGATGAGCCGTGGCCTAGGATGGCCTGGGTTTTCCGGGCCTCTGGCTCTGCTTGTTGACTTCTCGGTCTTGGATGCTGCAGACTCCATGATTCGTTTGAATTGTGCTGTAGGCATCTGCAGGCCACTGGACATTGGTGAATGCAGTGCATCTGCCACAGCATGGTGGAAGGGCCTTTGCTAAACAGTGTATTTACGTTGTCTGCCTGCGACAGCAGTGGCGGGTTTAGGCGTTTCATTGGAGCCCCCTGGTCTTGAAGTATTGCTGTTCTCTCTCTTTCACACAGCCCTCTCTCTCTTTCTCTACGAGGTAGAGAGCTCAGGGTGGTCCAACCCTAAGCCCCGTGCGTGGACGCGCACCCGCAGGTCCTGGGTGTCTGACTCTCCCCCGTGGGGTATTGCCACGGGAGGCTCCCGCCTTCTCTCTCTCTCCCCCTCTACCCGCAGGCAACGCCCACATCATGGACATAATGGCACTTGATGCGAGCCACTGCACGCTTGTGCTCGAATGTCTGCGCGTGGTTGGTTCACGGCAGCCTCGTCTTGTGATTGAAGTTTCGCTCCCTGTCCACTCTAGGATTCTAGGCTGCCTAGGCCTAAAGTAGAGCCTAGAGCCCAGCGCAGTCAACCTCACATGCCTGAACTGAAGGTAAGCGCAGACCCGAGACTCCCAGGACCGAGGCGCGAAACGGAGGCGGGCCGATTCTGGGGTTCAGGGAGACACACCAGAAGTACTGCATGACTTGCCAGCACACGATGGCTTTTTTCCGTCGCTTGCCCAATCTACCGACAGACTACAGCCCCACCCCAAACGGATACATACAAGCGGTGCAAGGAACCGGAAGGCAACAGAGTCTGACCGTCTGACCCTACTATGCCTGCTTTGTCTCTTCGTCTGCACGGTGGCCCTGCACCAGCTTGGATGCACTCTTCTACAAGAACAAGAGACACGACGATTGCAACTGATGCAAAGCTTCGTGAAACAAAGAGCCTTTTAACCTGGCTCGCTTGAGCCCTTCGGAAGTGAATTTTGTGCATCGTTACTGGTGCTCGACCCCTTCTCGCTGAACGCCGACAGGTTCCCTGACAATAGCCGGACGGGTTCGTCCGCTGCACTGCCAGTTCCAAAGTAGCGATCACCAAAATTCCCAATCCCCGGCAGGACAGTTCCATTTCCATCGACACCATCATCGATCTCCGTTGTGATCACCTACAGGGTCTGCGCAGGCATCAGTAAACGCCCTCATGTGGTTGTCTTCCGCCATCCATATGAAGGCGTTCAGTTGCTTCAGCCCTCAAGTGAAGGCACTCGTGTTGCCCTGCAACAGCTATCTGGAATTTACTGGAGCTTTTGCACTACGTCGATGGAAGCCCAAAAACCCCGAGACCTCGATTCTGAAACGTACCTGGGGTCTGGGTCCTGTAGGCCTCGAAGTTACCAAACTAGGAAGCAGCGACCTTGACCCCCGGAAACTTCTTGCACACCCGCTGGATGCCCTCAGGTGCCGCAATGAGCGTGATCAAGATGATCTTGTCCTGTATACTGTTGGAAAGACTTGGACATGTTGGACAAACGACGCCGGACGTAGGAGTGAAGATGTGAAGCCGAAAGGACCTTTGCATCTAGCCCTGGCGGCAGGAAAGGCTCAGACTCCTGATGTCGTCGATGAGAGTTCGAGTTGCAGCTGCAAAAGCTGCAAGAGCAAAACGGCACACTGGCAATCAACGAGTCCTCACAGACGCTCCGAAGCTCGGTAAGCACTTTGATGGCTGCAGCGCAAGACTGGCCTGAGAGCCAACTCAAGGCACTTTTGGGGAGGCTGCTCTGATCCCAAGAGCCTTGGGCTCCAAGGCTAAGGGCCTTTTGTATCATTTTGTATCCCTCGTAGCCGACCTGAAGCCAGAATCGGATCCATCAGTAGCACATGGCGATCTCCGATGTCGAAGGGCAGCTTCTCATAGAGCAAATGCAAGCTCCTGCCGAATTCGCTCACATGCTTATACCAAACTTCGTGGCAAATGGGCCGGATGGATCAGGTCGCAGGGATGCATCACGACAGCGTGTCAATTGCAGGACCTGCTAGAAGAAGCGAGACTACCTTACGTTTACACAGCACAAGCTGTTTGTGGCAATGAGTCACTGCTGCATTTGTCCTGTCAGTGGTCACCCGGTCGATGAGGATCTTGCCGATCTTCACACCAATGCAGCACGTGCGCAGTGCATTCTCCATGGCTTCCCCGGAGCGGATAATCGAGACCCCGCAGATTTTCCGAGAGAAGGTGAGGCCATGATAGCACTCACCTACCTGACAGTTTCCGCATTTCGATGAAGGGCAAGGGCAGTGAACGGCTTCCCCTAAGGCCACTTAGCAGGCGAGCTTGCTTCTGACCCCTTTTATAAGGAACTTAGAAGGGCCCAGCTGCCGGGGTTGTGACCTCGGCCTCCGAGAAGGGCAGGTATCCAAGTGCCTGCTCCACGACGAGCCGGATCAAACGGTCAGCATAGAATACCTGAGTCTCAAGTATCTTTGGAATGAACATTGACATGGCTCTGACTGTTTTGGGGAAGATTCAGCAATTACGGAAATCGCAGCCAGGTGCAAACTCCTGACGCGGGGTAGCACGCGATCGGATCTTCGTGTGCATCCCACGGGTCTGCATAGTGGCTGGCATCACGTGTAGGTTTGTGTAGATACGGCGCAGGTCATGCATCCCCAGCTTGGAGCGTATATTTTGCGTGATGAGATCAACCGCCACATCATTGTTTTCCCTCCACGGGATGATGATGTCAGCATTGTTTTTGCTCGGAAGAATGTACCGCTCGAAGGACGGCTTTACAAAGCGAGTGTATTGTCGAATGACGCCTTCGACATCTCTTCCCCGCTCCACGGTGTCACGCTTGATCCTTCGTGCTAGCCGGACGTCGTCGTCTGTGTCCACAAAGATTTTCATGTTACAGAGCTCCAGAGTTTCCTTGAGGTGAAGGACGAGAATGCCCTCCAGAATAACGACGTCACAGGGGGCCACTGTGCGAACTTGGTGGGCGGAGCGGCTGCTAGTGACGAAGTCGTACACGGGAACATGTGCATATTTCCCGTCCCGCAAATTCTCCAAACATTTCACAAGCTCACCGACATCAAAGGAAGCAGGCTCGTCAAAATTTACATCGCCGATGTTGGCCTGGGCTTTGCTGTCTCAAGTTATACGCGGACCGAGCAGCTAGCACCTGGAGTAGGAGCCGCAGAAGGAAAGCGGTGCCATTGAACGGCCAAGCATCGCATTCTTGAGGGGTCAGGTCCCTGTAAAACTCATCAAGGCTGATCAGGGCAACTCGTTGGTCGCCTGTTTGTGAATTGCAGCAGCCAAAGCCTAATCATGAATTTAGGCTTCGCGCAGTTATCAAGAAAAGGCATAGATGAATCTTCGGTCTTAGAAGCCTAGTGCTTGCATGAGCATTTGGCACACCGTCGTCTTCCCACTGGCAGTTCCACCCGCGATGCCGATGATGAATGCCTGAAATGTCGAGGCCTTGGCAGTGCTCTCCGACATTCTTCGCGTGACCGCTGCAAGCGTGTCAAGTTCGATGGACTGGGAGATTACCTCCTGTGACCCGGTGGTAAACTTCGAGCTGTTCCTCGGAAGTGCTTCGACCTCAGGCCGCGGCATGGGTTACGACTCAAACGCAACAATAACGACGGCGACAACCCGTAAACCACCATCACCACCTCTACCAACACGATGAACAAATAAACGCGAAGGGTTATGATAACCCAAGCAGCAGTACCCGGATTTCTTCAATCGTTGACTCATGAAACCCAGCGTACCACAAATTGCAGAAGCATGTGCAGTAAAAAGCATGAATAATAACAATCATGATGATGCTACTAGTACTAGTAATAATGTTAATAATGGTAACTGTACAGGTGTTTGCAAGTCGTCCCTGCCATGGCCTCGGCCTGGGCCTCAGCAAATTTCACACCAAGAATGCCAGAGTTCATTTTCCATGGCAGGCCATCGACTTGGACTGGAACTTAGAGTTCTCTTTTTTAGTTTGTGTTTTGTGACTTGAGATAGGGTGTTTTCAGTATTGCCGCGATCCGCAGGAGGTCACTGCTTAGACACAGCAACTTCAACACCGGCCAAAACTCGAGTATATGCCTGCCTTCTTTCAATTCTTTCTATACACTCTACACAGACGCAGAACTGAGCACATGACTGTCCCAAGTGGCCCCAGTCGTCCATCCCCAGTCCGAACACCACGAAAGCCGGCAGATTCGGGCCAACAAGCTGTTTGACAGGCAATCGGATGCGAGCGCGAATTGCCCAGACAGTGAGTTGCGCAGCAAGCCCATATAAACAAAAGCAACAGCTGCAACAGCAAAAGCAGAAGCGAACCAAAGCACCAGCGGCGCAGTCAGATTCTTGGAGTTTAAGCTCACCGCTTCCAGCTCTCAGAGTCGTATCCTCAAGCCCGCTTGGACCGGCAAGAGTTCCCGGCAGATCCCTCACTCATCCCCTCTTTTGTCCGCCACTGCAGGCAACATCCGTGAACGTGGCGACGCAGGGAGTTACCGCGAAGCATGTGGCAAACTGAATGGAACATGCGCTGCAGATGCAAGATGCTGCGTCGCATAAGCAGGATCTATGAAAGTCCGGAACGAGCAGGGAAGGCTGAAATCACCGATGACTATTGCATTTTCGGTGAAGGCAACGAATTCGTCTCTATTCGCACAGTAGGCACTTGGATCATTTCATCCGCTTGAAGGGGCCCCCATAGTGCCCTGATCGAGCGAGACCAGCGACGTAAAATACCATAGCAAGCCGTTCTGTCTTGCTGATTTCATAAGTTTTAATTCGTACCTTCTTGATTTGCGTCGCGGCCAGGCCCATCAGGCGAAGTAGCCGTAGCCCCGCCTACACAGCGTCGCTGGCAGTGAAGAAACATGTTAGCGAAATTGCCCGAACCACAAGCTCTGGCCACGAAGATCTGCACCGAGTTGAGTCTTAAGAGTCGAATCTTTTTAAGTTGTTAAGTGTCTTTCAACGATGGGAAAACCGGCGCTACCCTGTTACGGCCGGAGAATCGTCTGAATGCAAAGGTACGACGAACGGCAAGAACCGCGAATGCGAGACACCACTGCCCAGCGGAAGCTGCCTGGTCACAAGCCTGCCATGCCCTTGATCCGACTCAGATCATCCTGAACCTGACATGGTAACTTGCTGGCAGGAGTCTCTTGCGGCTCTTCAAGGCTCGGCTTCACCCAAGGATTGACCCTCCACTCTTGGATAAGCTTGGCTCAGGATGAGCCTAAGCCTTGTGGTGCAATAAGCGCGGGGTGCTGGGCGAGAATCTCAATGTCTAGAAAGCCCGCCACATTGCCTAAAGCAAGGCTTTTGGAGATACCACTGCAGTAAAACTATGTCAAACATTGTCCAACATCCCAATTACTGATCATCAACTCCCACCTCGCGCAAGTGCCGCTTCATGTCGCGAATTTCTTTGGAAAAGGCTGTCCCGGCCTCTGACGATTCAGCCGCAGGGCCCAGGGCAAAGTGGATCATTGTTTAGCTGTTCAGCTACAGTGCTACAGCACGTCATGAATAAACGGACTTCAAATGCCGAAGCACAAACCCCCACCAGCGAAGTCCAACCCGAGCGCTTGAAACCAAGGGCCATAGTTCTGCGTGGTGAATGATCACAGTCTGAGCCGTTGACCGCGCTGACGACCACCTGCATCTTCTTCAACTCTGCCTTCTCCTGCGAAATACTTGTGGAAGAAGTTCGCCGCTTCTTGAGCATGGGCTGCCTACTTGCACGACATGTGCATGCCCAGTTTAACTCCCACACCAAATGATGATGTGGACGTCACGTTTGGCAGCCAATCTTTCACTAGGCCGCGAATGCAAACCTTAACCACCTGTGACTAGCTGACTAGCTTCGCCGAATGCTCGAGCTTTAAGCACCGGCCTGTCCCAAAATGAACATGTATCATTGTTTGCCCGGCAGCACCTACAATTGCTGCGATGAGGCGTTTTTCTGCGATGCTGTTGGCTTGTCACAGGCTTTTGCCAGTCATGCCTTCCCTCGGTGGTTGCGGTTGTCCTTATCGTGCCGGTGTCTGGACTTGTGTGTTGGTCCTCATTATTGTCGCCAGGCGGGTCTTCGAAGGCCGGGAACCAGATAAATGATGCAGGCGACTGAATGATAAGCTCGTCCTAAGCTCGGAGAGTGCTGCACGGGTGACCATGAGCGACAAGCTGACAATCAACGGTAGCAAGAAACTGATAACAATCTGTCTACGAAGAACCCATCATTGGGGATGGATGCAGCTCGTTGTTTCGAAGTTAAGGGCTACCTTTTCATTCGACAATCCCCGAACCCTGATCCCACAACCCTCCAAGTTCAGAGCAGAAAACACAAGAAGACATGTAGAAGTTTTTTCTCAGCCCTCTCCAACGTACCTCTGGGGCCATGCCTGCGACCACCGACCCGGCTAAAGAGGCCGCCACTGAGCCCACCTGCAGGCATGAGCCCTTTGGAATTGGGACTGTATACGGTTGTTGTCTGCCTCTCTGGCGTCATGGTCACGGTGGCTTTCCTCCTGCTATGTACATCATGAACATGGATGCGTGGTCTACAGGAGTCGACATGGCACATCACGAAACATATGCGCATGTACATATATACACATATCTACAGTATCTATCTATCTATCTATCTATCTAACACATACATACATACATACATCCATGCATGCATGCATGCATACATACATACATATATATGTATGTATGTATGTATGTATGTTATAGGCACACACACACATGTACATGTATGTACATACATAATATGCGCACATCTACATATGCATTAATATACACAAATATGAAAACGTGACCTCTGTACACTTCTATGCATGTGTGGGTTATGGAATCTGCACAGATTCATGCGCTTCTCTGCGATGTGTTGGTTACAGTGCTTGTCAGGTCTTGAATGTCTATCGCATAGCACTTTGTCTTAGACATGGGTTACCGTGAAGGGCTTGCTGGTGAACATGGCTATTTGAAGAACTTTCGCAAGTTTTGGTTTGGCATTGTGAGAGCCTACCTACAAACTCCGCCGGCTGAAAATATCGCCTGCGGCCTCGCCAGGCATTTAAAACGCCTGGCATACCAAATTCCGCCTGCGGCCCTAGATTCCGCCTGCTCTGCTTTTGGGCTTACCCTATATAGGCACATTTATGTCGTGCGATAGGCCTAAATTTCCGAAGGAAAACATGATCTTGCAGAGCCTTCAAAACCTTGTCTAACCCCAGGTTAAAACCCAATACTCCCAACTCTATACAAACCCTATATAGGCTTATTTTGTATACTTTCTAGCCCATAAAAATGTATATAACTGTATAAACCCCATGCCCTAAACCCTATAAGCAATTGGCATAATGTTCCATAGATGGCCTCTCTCCCTCGTCGAGTTCCTCGATTTTGCCCTCGCCGAGCACTCAGTCTTCGAAGGTTTTTGAGGCTTCAAGTGGTGTTGGGTTGGTGGTAGTAGTAGTAGTAGTAGTAGTCGTAGTCGTAGTCGTAGTCGTAAGGGTTAGCAGCCGCCCTAGTCTTTAGGCACCCTTTGAAGCCTTCATCAGGGATCTTGTTTTCAAAAACACCCTCTGAATCACCCTATGATCGCACACTCGCACATCGACACGTCTCGAGAGTCTGCTGACTCTGCCTATGTAGTCTTCGTTGATGTCGCAAGAAGCGATCTGAGGGTTGAAAACGGCACTGTGGCCGAGGAGAAGCGATGTCCGAATCGTGATCGCTATATGATGGAGCGAGTGATGCTTCGGTTTAAGCATGAAAGCTCGCATTTTCAGCTCAAGCATCGAAACAGAAAGCCGCCTGTAGCCCCGCAAAAACCTCATCATGGTTACATATAAGAGGCGAGCACAGGGCCTTCTCAACACGAGCCGGTGCGAGTTCATGATTCGGAACATCTTCAGACCTGCTTCACAGGTGTGGAGCATGCACTGTAGCAAAGGTCCGCAACCGTCGACTCGAGGCTTGTCCAGCATCAATCGTAAGAACCAAACGAAAAACTTCATGATTGACATAGAATCCGAGCCGCACGAGTTCAACCACGGAGCCGAAAGGAAATTTTTCATGTTCAAATTCCCCTTATTGAAGCTTTTGAGGCGTGGATACTCTTTATTCACCTGTGCCCACAAGCTGAAGCTGTTCCAAGCTCTCTGAAGCCTTGCCACGAAGTCTTTTGAGGCTTGGGGGTAGTCGAAAAACCCTTTCCTGCAAAGCACAACGATCATTCCACCAAGCAAGTCCCTGGCCACTCCGAGCTTCACCACATGAAAAGGATCGGGCACCAGCATTCGCTCAGGACTCTGGGAATCGAAGGGTAACCTGGAAAGGGCCGGAACTTGCTTTGCAGGCCAGGGCCGTTCTTGGAACTGGCTGGCTAACCAGAGTGGCTCCTCGCTGAGATCTTCAAAAGGAAACTTGCCTCCAACTGAGGCCTGACACGAGTGGCAGATGAAACCTGGGCCCGAGGATTTGCCCACGTGAGTATAACATCGCTCCAGGTGAAAGTATTTCCGGTGAAAATCCATATCACCCTTCACACCTGCCACTGCAGCAAAAAAACGGCGGCCACGAACCATGACCCCTTGGGAAAGGAGACTTTGAAAACCCCCGGCGATCTCTGCAAGCAAGCTTTCGACGACATGGTTGTTTTTTTTCGTAATCCATCCACCCAATCCGAAGAGTAACCGGCGGCTTAAGAAAGAGTGTCCGTAGAAGTTGGTCCACATGTCGTTGACAGCTTGCAGTGCCGATTCTGGCAGTAAGTCAGGCTTCTCTTGCCCGAAGGTAGGGAGGCCGGGTGTGGAGGCTAGCTCAGCCTCACATGTACAAGGCTTGTCGTAACATTTCTTGGTCTTGAAGCTGATTGGGTTTTGCATCGACAAGACAAGATAGGAGGTTTTCT